ACTACCATGGCCTCATTGGCAATGAGTAAGTCCTGTATCCTTCTAGTCCTTGGCATGTCAACTTTTTTTTTTTTTTTTTTTTTTTTGGTGTGTGGGGCCCTCTCACTGTTGTGGCCTCTCCCGTTGCGGAGCACAGGCTCCGGACGCGCAGGCTCAGCGGCCATGGCTCACGGGCCCAGCCGCTCCGCGGCATGTGGGATCCTCCCGGACCGGGGCACGAACCTGTGTCCCCTGCATCGGCAGGCGGACTCTCAACCACTGCGCCACCAGGGAAGCCTGGCGTGTCTGCTTCTGAGGCAGCTGGCTCTCTGTCATCCTTAGGCCAGAGGTGGATGATGCCACCAGGCAGGCCAGTTTAGATTGATCAGAGGTAATTAATATGGCAGGAGATGGAGTAACTGCCCTGGGAGTGGAGGTGAGCCCAGGTGGCCACACCCTCACTGCCTGATTCCAGGTCTCAGTCCACAGCCTCTGGACTTCCCTCAACACCTCCTACTGCTCTGCTTTTATACCACAGAGGACAACTGCTTTAATGGGGTGAGTCACCCCTCTCTCTCCTCGGTGAGGGTTGGAAAGAGGGCACCTCTCTCCTCCTCAGCTGGTGGGAGAGCAAAGGAAAAGAGCTCAGAACCCCAGTGCACAGAGCTGTTCTTACACACACATACACACACAGAGCACACCCCCCAATCAGTTTATAGCAACCCTGTGAGGAAAGCAGATTGGTGGGACTCACATGGGGATTTAAAAATTCTTATTTCTAGAGGCTGGGGAAATTTCTGAAGATGGTCAAAAGGTACAAACTTCCAGTTATAAGATAAATAAGGGCATGTCCCTGGTGGCGCAGTGGTTAAGAATCCGCATGCCAATGCAGGGGACACGGGTTCGAGCCCTGGTCCGGGAAGATCCCACATGCCATGGAGCAACTAAGCTCGTACAACGCAACTACTGAGCCTGCACTCTAGAGCCCGCGAGCCACAACTACTGAGCCCTCGTGCCACAACTACTGAAGCCTGCACGCCTAGAGCCTGTGCTCCGCAACAAGAGAAGCTAATGCAATGAGGAGCACATGCACCACAAGGAAGAGTAGCCCCGCTCACAGCAACTAGAGAAAGCCTGTGCGCAGCAACGAAGATCCAAGGCAGCCAAAAATAAAATAAATAAATTTATATATATTAAAAAAAAGATAAATAAGTCCTGGGGATGTAACGTACAGCATGGTGACTATAATTAATAATAGTGTTCTGTATATTTGAAAGTTGCTAGGAGAGTAATCTTAAAAGTTCTCTTCACAGGTTTCCCTGGTGGCGCAGTAGTTGAGAGTCCGCCTGCTGATGCAGGGGATACAGGTTCGTGCCCCGGTCCAGGAAGGTCCCACGTGCCACGGAGCAGCTGGGCCCGTGAGCCATGGCCGCTGAGCCTGCGCATCTGGAGCCTGTGCTCCGCAACAAGAGGCCACAGCAGTGAGAGGCCCGCGTACCGCAAAAAAAAAAAAAGTTCTCATCACGGGCTTCCCTGGTGGTGCAGTGGTTAAGAATCTGCCTGCCAATGCAGGGGACACGGGTTCGAGCCCTGGTCCGGGAAGATCCCACATGCCGTGGAGCAACTAAGCCCGTGGGCCACAACTACTAGAGCCCACGCAACTAGAGGTCACGCTCCGCAACAAGAGAAGCCACTGCAATGAGAAGCCTGCGTACCACAACGAAGAGTAGCCCCCGCTCTCTGCAACTAGAGAAAGACCGCAAGCAGCAGCGAAGACCCAATGCAGCCAAAAATAAATAATTAAAAAAAAAAAAAGTTCTCATCACAAGAAGAAAAACTGTAACTATGTGAGGTGATGGATATTAACTAAACTTATTGTGGTAATCATTTTGTAACATATACATATGTCAAATCATTATGGTGTATACCTTAAACTAATACAATGTTATGTGTCGATTATATCTCAATAAAACTAGAAAAAAATGTAAATACATAAAAAATACAATTTAAAACATTTTTTTCTTGTTTCTCATTGCTTTTAAATTGCAAATACAATATACTGTCCTCATTTAAAAATTCAGGTAATATTTCCTCCCTATTTTACAGGAAAACAAACTACCCCAACGCCTTCCAGGCAGTAAGGGGCAGACTGTGGACTAGAATTCAGGTTTTTTTGTGTCCAAGGACAGGGTTTCTCCCCTGGGCTGTGTGGTCTCCCCATAGGGCCTCCAACTCTGCCCCCTACCCTGCCCTAATCCAGAAGAAACCTACAAAGGCCTTGGCAAAACACCTAGCAGATAGGCCCTAATCCACATCAGAGATAACATTTTCTCTGACACAGGAGATAGGACTGTCCCCAATTCCTCCCACAGTATTTGCTGTCACATCACTCCTGTCTCTTCCTCCCAAGAGGGTGTGCATATCTGAATGCAAGTGATGCAAATCTGAATGCAAACTTCAGCACTCTATGATTTTTTTAAACCAAATAAACAGCAGGAGGTCTCACAGGGAATGATGACAACTCTGAGGGGATGACCTTCCCAGAGCAGTGTTTTCTGCCTCTGCTCCCGGGGCTGGTGCTGGGCCCTCAAGGTTCTGATTAGCCATTGCCAGAACCCAAAATGACAAATGCCTCGCATTTTCCTTTGACCCTTGGGTTATTGTGCAAAGGGAGCAATCACGGCTCACCAAATTCTGATTTTCACATTAGATTAATGCGCAATCTAACTCCAGATTTCTGCCAAGGGTTTGCCTGCCATGCAGCCTTGCAAAGTTCCTGCTGTGCATGCCCACGTGGAGTTAGTGGAATACAACTAGGAGTAGGAAGGGGTGAGATAAGAGGACCACAGAGCCTTTGGGCCTATCTAAATGGGGTCAAAACTTAAAAAAAAAAAAAAAATTGTGAATCCTGGCCTCTAGAGCATAATCCAGCCCCCTGGCTTTGTGGAGCTGGCTTACAATTGGTAGCTCTCTCCCACGAGGAGGGGAGCAGCAGTGCCCTCAGCTCCCCGTGGTATGGCATGGATGTGTCCCCGGGGGTCAGCTCCAAGACTGCCTCCTGACCCAAGAGGCCAGAGGGCACAGGCTCAGTCCCTCATGCTTTGCTGGCCGTTTTCACCATGTTAGGTGTCCCAGTCAACAGACCCTGTGCCTGAAAGAGTAGCAAATTGTGTTTTTACCCTCAACCCTGGAAAGTCCTTGGACTGATTCCTCTCTGCAGGTCCTGGAAGCTTATGGTATGATTCAGGGCATTGCCCTCAACAACTGCAACCTCTACTCACTCTGCTGAGGGGCACATGGCTACCAGGGGCCTTAACGCTGCTGGCATGAGCAACCTCTTCTGAAGATACCAGGCCAACGTGGCCACCCCAGGAACTGGTTGGTGAGGTGGGATGGGAGACAGTGAGTGCTGTGCCCTGTAGTCTGGAGATAATTATTAGAGGTAATGCTTTTCTCCACCTTTGCAACTAGTCCAATACACCATCATCTCTTTTTTTTTTTTTTTCATGTTCTTTCTTATTTTATTCTTTCTGACAGAGTTTTGAAAAGAATCTTGCTCCAGAAGAATGTTTTTCCCCCTTGGATCTTTTTTAACAAAATCCAAGAACAGAATGAAGAACTTGGGCTGATTATTATTATTATTTTTTTAACATCTTTATTGGAGTATAATTGCTTTACAATGGTGTGTTACTTTCTGTTTTATAACAAGGTGAATCAGTTATACACATAAAGTTATGGGACGCTTCAGGAATTTGCGTGTCATCCTTGTGCAGGGACCATGCTAATCTTCTCTGTATCGTTCCAATTTTAGTATACGTGCTGCTGAAGCGAGCGCCACCATCATCTCTTGCCTGGACTATTACATCCTTCTAATTTGAAGATTCCTGCTGCCCCCCACCCCTTTGCTCTCCTGTAGTCTTCTTCTTGCAGTAACCTTTTAAAACTAAGGTCAGCTCACATCCTCAGCTCAAAATCTTCTACGGCTTCTCTTCTTTCTAGGATGAAAGCCAAAGTCCTCATCTACCATGGCTGACAGGGCCCCACAATTCTGGCTTCTCTCTGACCTCTTTTTCTGTTACTCCTCCTCTCCCACTGCTCAGCCTCAGCTACAGACTCAGGGACTTTGTACTTTCTGGACTCCTGCCTGGAACCCTCAGCCACCAGATGTCTGTGTGGTTTCCTCCCTCACTTCTTTCAGGTCTCTGCTCAGACCCTTTATCAGAGAGGTCTCCCCAAACAAAAAGAGCTGCTACCACCTCCCCAACCTTCCCACCTCTGTCACTCCAGCACCTTATTCTGCTCCATTTCTTTTCATAGCACTTAGACTGCTCAACATTATTTCCTTAGTATTATTGTTTATCACAACCCCCTGTTCAAATGCAAGATCAATGACTGCAGGAACTTTGCTTTTTTGCTGCTATATTCCCAACACCTGGCACATAGGAGGCACTTAAAAACTATTTGTTGGGGGGACTTCCCTGGTGGCACAGTGGTTAAGAATCTGCCTGCCAATTCAGGGGACACGAGTTCAATCCCTGCAACTAAGCCCGTGTGCCACAACTACTGAGCCTGCACTCTAGAGCCCATGAGCCACAACTACTGAAGCCTGCGCACCTAGAGCCCATGCTCTGCAACAAGAGAAGCCACCACAATAAGCCTGTGCACTGCAACAAAGAGTAGCCCCCGCTCACCACAACTACAGAAAGCCCGTGTGTACAAACGAAGACGAACACAACTAAAAATAATAAATAAATAAAATTGATTCTTTTAAAAAACAAAACAAAACAATTTGTTGGGGACTTCCCTGGTGGCGCAGTGGATAAAACTCCACGCTCTCAATGCAGGGGGCTTGGGTTCGATCCCTGGTCAGGGAACTAGATCCCACATGCACGCTGCAACTAAGAGTTCACATGCCACAACTAAGGAGCCCTGGAGCCACAACTAAGGAGCCTGCCTGCTGCAAGTAAGACCTGGTGCAACCAAATAAATAGATAAATATTAAAAAAAAAAAAAAAGCTTACCTAGGGCAGCCTTGGACTGTGGACAGCATGGTCTGAGCCTGAAAGAGATCAGAATGTGAGGTGCTCAGGATGGTGGGAATCGGGGGACAGGCAGCACTTCCCCAGGGTCCCCTGACCAGGACAGGTGTGTCCTTGGGATCCTTACTTCTTGGGACTATCACGTGGTGATGGTAAGAGAGGAAGACGTGCAAAGTGGCCTGGCTGCCCCTCCTCTCTCTGTCCTGCCTTCTCCAGGTAACTCTCCCTGACAACTCCCATTTGGAGTACAGGGTGGACCAGGGGCTGCTGTGGAAGTCAGAACATTTCCAGACAGAAAGGACTTTGAGATCATCTAGGCCAACTCTTCTGTTTTACAGAGGAGGATTCTAGAGAGAGAGAAGGACTTAGTCTGCATGGGAAGGGGATGAGCAGAATTACAGAAGGGGCTCAGGGCTGTAGAGCATGGGATGAGCTTGTGGGATCCCAAAATAGCATCTCTATGAGGTTCACCAAGTATTGGGGGACTGGCATGGAAAATGGGATGGTGGGAGGGAATATCTGAGGCTTTCAACCCCATAACCCCTTCCATACTCTCTGCTTCCAGCCTCCTGACGGCCCCATTTCTGGGGTGCCTGAATGTATCCAGGCCGTACCACATACCTGTAGCTGAGCCACACCCTCAACTCCCTCCCTGCCTAGGAACTGTGCAGGTAAGCCCGAGGATATCTAGCAGCCACTGGCAGAGGCACGAGAGCGTGGATATGACCTCCCAAGATTGGGGGGCCTTCTTGGGGAGAGGTAGGGCAGAGATAGCTGACACTAAGATGTAGGGTAGGGCAGGCTGTTGGTTCACTACTATGATCCCAGCACCTGTAACAGTGCCTGGAACGTGTGGTGCTCCAAGGACAATGGTGTTTCAAGGACAAAGGACAACCCTGCCTGAAAAAGTTTCAGCGTTACACATCCTACTGGACTCTAATCACCATGTTGCGATGGGTACGAAATTCCTGAGCCCACCTGGGCTACGAGACCTGTTCCTCTCTCGTTCCAAATAAGGAAAGGCATCTGCCCCAACCCACTCCCACTCTAAAGAAGGATGGTATATGTGCCTCGACCAATCAGAAAACAAAAATTTCACCTCGGACCGTTTCCTTGTTCTAGGGCTATAAAAACTGACTAATAGCACGTATTCGGGGTTGGCTCTCCCAGACTACTAGGCAGTCGGTCTGCTGTCCTGGCAGCGACCATTCCCTCTAATAAATTCTAACCTCTTTACATTCTGCTTTGTGTCTGGAAATTCTTTTCCAACCCGCGTTCGGACCACGACAGAATACAGTAAACACTCAAATATTTGTTGAAAGAAGAAATGGATGAGGGAGAGGCACCTGTTGCAATTGGAAGAAGATGGGATGGAGGTGGGGGTCCTAGAGCCCAGGCACAGGGTGTGGGAAACAATCGTTATCCTGGGAGAGTGGACAGGCCCATATCTACGGGCAACTTTTTGCTGATTAAGAGGCAAGGCTGAAAAGGGGCTCCAGGAATCCCAGTTCCCAGTTTCCTGGAGTAGACGCCGACTGTCTGGACATCCTCGGCTGCTTCTGCCTGCAGCGCCCAGGTTTGCCCTCAGTACCAGAGGCAGTGTATAGACATGGTCCCTTTCCCCTGGGAGCTGCTGCAGAATGACCTCTGAACCCTTGTCTATAAAGGGGGCAGTGACCTGGCTTACAACTTCGTGGGTGGGGAGAGGTCTGTGGAGGCCCTGAAGCAGCCAGTGAGGACGTGATGCCCCAGGGGAAGGGTGGACTCCGGGCGGCCAGGGTGGGGGTGGGATGGCTGCAGCCCTTTCTTCTCCCAGAAGTCAACAGCCAGAGGAAGAGTCACTTCCCAGGCAGCTCTAAGTGGGTGCTGTTGCTGAATACCTTCTGCCTGGGAGAAGAACCCTCAGGAGAAGGAGGAGGACGGAAGAAGATCAAAGCCCAAGTATTTCAAAAACAAAGAAGACCTTGGCCCTCCAGCTGTCTAAACCTGAACTCCTGGGAGGAGACATCACAAGGAGGAGAGATAACTTCTTTCCAAAAGAAATTTATTAGCATTTAAATGTGCCCCAATCCCTCTATCTTAAAAAGTACAAACCCTCCTTTGCCCTCCAGCTACAGCTCTCCTGTGCAGCCTGATCCCATCTGGCTCAAACCCCCTCTCAGCCACAGAAAAGGTCCCACAGCCCAGGGCCTTGTCAACCTCCTCCCTGCTTGACTGCTCAAACACGTTGAGTCCCTCAGTCCTCTGGCTTCTGTGACTTCACTCAGCCTCCAGCAGTCCTCAGGCCTCCTGGGTTGGGCTGTTTCCCAGCATGCTGGAGACTCTTCCCTCCTCAACCAGGAGCCTGAGCACAGCTCTTCTCAGGGCTCAGAGGCCTCTGCTCTCTGAAGGCTCCCCCAGGGCAACCAAGCCGGCTTGTCAGTGCCTCCATCAGCAGTTCTGGCTCTCAGCCGCCCATAGCTTTAGCCCACGGCCTGAATGTGTGAAACACATTCACCTTCAAATTGAACTCACTGTCTCTGCCTCCACACCTGCTCCTCCAGTCTCCCTGCAACAAGAGGCGGAGTTGAGGTGGGGGGAAGGAGGTGCCCAAGGGCAGATAATCCTTCACTTTTTCTCCCTCACCTTTCACACTCCATCAGTTGCCAAAGCCCACTTTGCTCCATTCCCACGGCCACCACCTCCCCTGGACTCCTGCGGTAGCCTCCTGGCTAGTCTCCCAGCAACTTCTCTGGCTGGACACCAGTACTTTCTTCACGCAACAGCCAGTGTGACCTTCAAACAGTGCAAATATGAGCACGACAGCTGTTCCATCCAACCCTTCCAAGGCTCCCAGAGCCCTTAGGATAAAGGGCTGAGCACAGAGGCTTAAATGGTCCTCTGGCTGCCTCTCTAGGCTCCAACCTTCCTGGTCTTTTAATTCTTCAAAGATGCCAGTATCATCTCTGCGAGGCTTAGCTCTTTGCTGGAATGTACTCCCTTTCTGCCACTCTGTTTAGAGAACTCCTACTCCCTTTCACATCCTTAGAGAGTCCTTGAATCCCCGGACTGGGTTGCAGGCTCCCCAAAACTCCCTATGTTCCCCGTTTGTTAACATTTCTCACATCTGCGATTCTTTGACAGTTGGCTGCTCTGCTAGTCTGAGCAGATGATCATGAGCAATGTCTACCTGCACAGACACCTGAAGTGCCTACTCTGCTCTGAGCTATGTTCCGGGACACAGCTGTTGTTTAATCAATGATGATCTGTTGAAGAAATGAGGGTTCTGCCCTGGTGGTGGAGGGGTGTGTGTGATGTATTGGGAGGTAAGGCCTTTGGGCGGTGATTAGGTCATAAGGGTGGAACCCTCATGAATGAGATTAATGCTTTTATAAAAGGGATGCCAGAGAACTCCCTTGCTTCTTCTACCATGTGAGGTTACAGCAAGATGTACATCTATGAACGAGGAAGTGGGCTCTCCCCAGACACTGAATCTGCTGGTGCCTTTATCTTGGGCTTCCCAGCCTCCAGAACTGTGAGGAATAAATTTCTGTTTTTATAAGCTACTGGGTCTATAGTATTTTGTTATAGCAGCTTGAATGACATTATTCCAAACGCTTTCTTTTTTACTTGAACCTGGAGTCTGTCCTTTCTTTCACCATCTGTGACTACTCTAAAACCACAGGGCTACAATGACAAATATGGGCCTAGCCTCATCCTCAGGTCAGTGAATGAGGCTAATTAGCCTCAGATTTTTGGGGTTGAAATGGGCCTCCGTAGAGATTCCCCAATATTTTATTCCAAAGATGTTTGCTTATTATTTTCCCTACGAGTTCTGAATTTTGGAAGATTTTTGCCTACCAAATATGATGAGCTAATTAATGATAGCTGCTGTAGCTTCTGGGGGGGTAGTGTGGGGAAGGACAAATATTTGATTTGATTTTATTTTTTTTTCTCGGTACGCGGGCCTCTCACTGTTGTGGCCTCTCCCGTTGCGGAGCACAGGCTCCGGACACGCAGGCTCAGCGGCCATGGCTCACGGGCCCAGCCGCTCCGCGGCACGTGGGATCTTCCCGGACCGGGGCACGAACCCCTGCATCAGCAGGCGGACTCTCAACCACTGCGCCATCAGGGAAGCCCAAGAGGCCCCCAATATATTTGAATTCAGGGATTCTTGGTCATGAAAAGTCCTTTTCAGGCCAGTGTGGGTGGCTGGTAAGCTTACCTTTTGGGGTTCAGGGAGGGAGTACTGTTTTAAGCTACATATCCTGAAAGAATTCCAGCAAAAGTATTTCTCCTGGATCAGCTTCCAGCATTTAGATTATTGACCTATTCATTCTATAGGTAACATACAGGCTTGAATTGTTCACTAATGATTACCTGGTCTGTCTTTTGCTCCTCCAAAGAGTGACTGTAAACATATTAAAGACAGAGGCCTCTTTTTCTCAGACTTCCAAGACTCTATACTGTATTTAGAAGAGATTTAATGTCTGATGGACTTAATAACCTAGAGAAGGAAGTATGGAATGGTCAAGAGGAATTTGGAAGGGGAGTTCCCTGGTTGGTCCAGTGGTTAGAATTCTGGGTTTTCACTGCTGAGGCCCTGGTTCAATCCCTGGTTGGGGAACTAAGATCCTGCAAGCCGGGAGGTGTGGCCCTCCACCCTAAAAAAAGGGGAATTTGGAAGACAATGCTCAACTTATTGCCCCCTCCCACCTTCAGTTGAGGATATCTTGTAAGTTTACCCCTCTAAGATGACAGTAGAGACGGGTTTTAGGTAAACGATGTTAAGTGTAAGTTGGGGGCTGAGGAGCTGAGACAGTGCCCAGAGAAGTCTGTGGTACTAAACGAGAACTATCTGCCAAGGCAGGGGCCCAGATGGGCGGAGAATGAAGAGTAATCAGGGAGGACACAGAAAGTTATGGCAGAGTCATACAGACTCTGTCCAGCTCAGAAGAATTCCATCAATAATCCTAAAGTCCACGAATCTGTCTAAAGCCCAGGTAGGATTCTCAGACCTGCTCTAACTTGTTTGCAAGCATCCACTCAGTGCTAAACTAACCATGAACCAGAGGAGATGCTTTGTGGCTTTTCCTTTTTCCTCTTAGCTTCTTCCCTGTTCTCTCATGAAAAGAGAGAGAGGGATAAATAACCTTAAAAAAAAGTCAGGAGTTTCCTACACAGTCTTGGGACAAAATCCCATATTAAAGAGAGAATCTAGGGACTTCCCTGGTGGCACAGTAGGTAAGAACCCACCTGCCAATGCAGGGGACACAGGTTCGATCCCCAGTCCGGGAAGATACCACATGCCGTGGAGCAACTAAGCCCGTGCACCACAACTACTAAGCCTGAGCTCTAGAGCCCGTGAGCCACAATTACTGAGCCTACGTGCCACAACTACTGAAGCCCACGCGCCTAGAGCCTGTGTTCAGCAACAAGAGAAGCCACCACAATGAGAAGCCTGCGCACGACTACGAAGAGTAGCCCCCCTCGCCGCAACTAGAGCGAGCCCGCACGCAGCAACGAAGACCCAACACATCCAAAAATAAATAAAATTTAAAAAAAGAGAGAGAAAGAATCTAAAAATTCAAATGTAAACTCAACTGGGAAACACCAAACTCACAGCAGTATTTTCAGAATCTGTCTCACTCATTTATAACACCCTATCAGACGATGCATCACATTTTTTGGCTTGGAAAATATCTGATCACTACCGACCACTGAACATGACAGTTGGGAGATCACCTGGGCACGGGGGTTTCCAAACAAAGGCTTGGAGGACAGTGGCTGGGGATGTAAGCCCTGAAGTCAGAGAGCTTGGGTTTCAAGGCTTGCTTTGCCATTGACTAGGTATGTGACCTTGGGCAAGTGACTCACCTCTCTAAGCTTCAGTTTTATGATCTGTAAAATGGGGTCCCTACCCTACAGGGTCTTGAGGTGTGGATGAGATAAAGCATGTAAAGTTTTACTTTTAGAGTATATTAGTTGATTAATAAACCTATGTGCACATAAGAATTCCAGCACCACACAGTAAATCTTTGGCTTCCTAGGAGTCCACAGAACACACTTTGGGAGCCAAATCCAATATCCTCAGAATAGTAAAGAGGGAAAAAGAAGTGCAGGGAGGGGAAATGACTTTCCCAAGGTTACACAGAAAGTTAGGGGCACAGCCTGGTTCAGGGCCGGGGTTTCTGAATTCCTCAATGGGCTTTTTGCAATGTGCCTCCCTGGTCATCCTCCCATCAGGGTAGAGCCACCAAAGTCATACCAAAGCCTGGGTGCCCAGGGAGCCAGAAGGTTTGGAGCTTAGGCATTACTGATGGTCTGGAAGGAGATCAGAATTTAGCTTTAGGCTGTCAGTGAGTTGCTTTGGATAAGACAGTCGAAACTACTATAAATTGGGAACTCCCTGGTGGTCCAGTGGTTAGGACTCCATGCTTCCACTGCAGGGGGAATGGGTTCGATCCCTTGTCAGGGAACTAAGATCCCGCATGCTGTCCAACGCAGCCAAAACACAACAAAACAAAACAAAACTACTGTAAATTGAAGTTACTGACTCTCTGATAAATGGGACTGAAAAACAAGAACACTGAATAAAAAGGCCTTGTATCTCTTCTTCATTCAAGCACCAAACATTTTATAACACAGTTTGCACAGATCTCAACCTCTCAAAGTCCTTTGTGTTCTAGGTATTTTTGCCTCCACCCCAAGCCAATTCAATAAGGCTTTTGTTTCCTAACACTTAGATTTCCCTCTCCAGGCTATTTTGGGAAACAAAAGAGTTTGTATAGTTCTTCCAGAGCATGGGAAGCACAGTTAATTGGGGGTGAAGGATTGGAAGAAGGCTGAGGAAAGAGGCCAGGTGAGTAATTAACAGCTGGTAAAAATATCCTATTTCTAAATATGTTTGAACCCCAGAACACATAATTGCTAAGTTACAAGGTGATGCAGTGAGCCCTTTGTGATGGTCTCTAGTAAACTAGTTTGTCTGGGCATGATTTCCAACTATGTCTTTCAGTAAAGTGAAAAAAAGTACACTAAGTTATCTCCATTAACCCTTCCAATTTGTAAACATTCTATGAGTCTCTCTCTTTTCTAGCAGGGATAGAAGCCACCCAGAATTCTTGACAACACACAGTTGAAGGACTTTGATCTCCAAGCTATTTATTGTGTGAATCCTGCAAGTACTAGACTAAGTCCCCAAGGCACGTCAAATCCTAGCAGTGGTGTTGGTGTAGCTGGGGGTGAGGATGGGGCGTGGGAGGGCGGCACTGGCAGTGGGCAGAAGGGTCTCCCAGAGCAGCCTCAGTATAAAGACAGGCAGAAGTGTGGAAAGGCAACTCAGCTTTATTTCATTCAACTGACTTTAGGAGATTTATGTCTGAGACCTGATTTAGTTGTAGAATTACAGAATTGATCTTAGATAGTTGACCTCTATGGGTGTCATTATCTGTCTCCTTTTAAAAAAATTTTATTTTAAATTATACAAATAAAACATGAATACATCCTCTTTGCAAAAAGTTCAAATAATATAGTAATATACAAAACAAAAAGCAAAAGCTCCCTTTACCCTTCCTCATTCCACTCCCCTCCCTGGGGATAACAACTGGTGTCAGTTTGGGGAAAGGATGTATCTTTTCAAATCTTTTTATGCATTTATTTATATGTAAATGCAAATATAGTTATTTTCTCCTACACAAATGGTAACATACTGATTATACCATCAGTTTGTTTCATTTTTTCTTTTTCTGCACTTAACTTTTAAATTTAACAATAAATCTTTGAATTATTCCATATCAGTACCTATAGACTACCTCACGGGTTTTAAAAACTCTGTAGTATTCCATTGTATAACAGTACCATACACTTATTTATCCTCTTCCCTATTGTGTCCAATCTTTTGGGACTCCATTAACAATGCATCAGTGAATATCTTTATATATTCATCTCTGTACAAATCTGCAATATTCACCTGTGGAATAAATTCCTAGACACTGGGTCAATGGGTCTGTGCATTTTCAGTTTTGATAAATTTGGCCAAAATTCTGCTATCCATAGAGGTTTTAGCAATTTTATACAGCAACAAGGTATAGAACGGACTTATTCCTCATCCTTGGTCTGTTTAGGGGGCCTTCTATCACTAATATCATAATGTTTTAAGTCCATTTCTCCATTTCCTGATTTTTCAACATTTATTTGCTCACATGTCTACCATGTGCCAGGCACTGTGCTAGGTGCTGGGATACAGCCATGAACAGGACTGAAGCAACCCTTGCCCTTGCTGTATGTGGGGTCCCTGGGTATCCTACAGTTGTTTGAAATCACCACTCAGTAAATGTCTGCTGAAAGAGTTTGCCTCCAACCAAGGAATGGGCACGTGTCAGTAAGTATTTCTAGGATGTTAGTGAAATAAGCCAGTCACAAAAAGACAAATTCTTCATGATTCCACCTATATGAGGTATGTGAAGTAGTCAAACTCTTAGAAAATAGAAGGGTGGTTGTCAAGGATTGGAAGGAAGAGATGGGGAGTTGTTTGATGGGCATACAGTTTCAGTTTTGCAAGATGAAAAAGTTCTAGAGATCAGTTGCACAATAATATGCGTATAGTTTTAACACTACTATGCGGTACACTTAAAAACAGCTAAGATGGTAATTTTTATGCTATGTGTTTTTACCATAATTTTTTAAAAAGCATTTTTAGGCACAAAAGGTAGTATGAGAGAGATGGCTAGGAAACAAGCAACCCAGCATAGCCTCAGGACGGGGTGATGAGGATACATTTTTTTCAAAACTTAAAAGAGCCACCAGTCAACACTTCCTTCCACTCCTCCCACACTCAGCTAGGAACACGTGACCACAAAATCTTTAAAAAAATGTTTCTCTATTCTTTCTCCCGAGAGCAAAGGGCGTAAGTATTCTTTCTGATACCACTTCCAGGGACTAAGCCAAAGAGAGACTGAGCTTCCTACCTCTCTGTAAAGAGTCCCTTCTTCAACAGGCAGAACTAGATGGGAAAGTTCTCTTGACGAAAGTGAGGCAGGCTAGGACCAAACGGGAACCTGGGGGACTACGTTCTCCAGCACGCATTACTCCTCCTAGAGCGCAGTCAGTGACGGAAGAACTCGCACTACGTTTGCGACAGGAACTGGGAGGAGGAACTACATATCCCAGGATGCAAAGCGCAACCACTCTAGTTACAGGCTGGCTTGCTTTCTGGTAGCTGGCGTTCCCCGCCAAATGGACAAGAAGGGTGGGGGTGGGGAAATGTTTAAGATTGGGAAGCCCGGTGCTCTACCAGACTTGACACTTCGAAAGAGGAAGGAGAGTATTGGAAGGCTGTTTTTCCCTCTCAGAGTAGTGCCCGCGCAAGGTGGCGAGGATTTAAGGGCCCTCTCCTTTATTTATTGTTTCTCAGAGGCAATGCCAGGCCCCCATTGGTCGACGACCTCGAGGGCAGGTGGGAAGTCCGTAAAACCCCAAATCGAAGTTATCTGCGTCTCTCCATTGGCCCTCGCCTCGAGCGCAAGCGCAAGGGCTCCTACTCCCGTCCCTGGGGACTGGTGAGCGGCAATTGGCCAAAGCCCGCGAAGTAGGAGTCTGGATTGGTAGTTGCTAGCAAGAGCCTGGTTTCTTCCTTGACTTCTGCAAGTGATAGTGTGTGATTGGTTTAAATCCGCGGGCACCCGTCGGTGATTGGGCAGGAACCACGGGCGGGGTACGATCATTGGCTGGTGCTGGGGCCCTCCCTCCTCGGGCGGGCAGCGAATGATGAAATGGGAACGGGGAGGGGAAAGGCCGCGACGTGAGCGCGCGACCTCCGGCGCCATTTTGTAGAGAAACAAGCGGAGTTAACCGAAGAGGGGTCGAGGAGAGCCGGAGTCGGGGACCCAGGAGTTTCCTGTGTCCAGCGCCGCCGGAGCCGCCTGAGGTGAGGTGGGCTGGGGTCGGGTGCTGGGGCCGGCGGGCGGTGTCAGCTACGGAAAGCGGGTGCCGGTGCGGGAAGGACCGGGGGTGGTCCCGGGGCCACTGGGAGCGTTTCCCGGCGCTCCGCTGTGTGAGGGGCAGTCGGGACGGAGAAGTGCAGAGGCGAGAGAGGGCAGACTCTCTCCCCTCGGCTGTAGAGTCTTTCGGCTCTGAAGAGAAGAGGCCGAGGCGAAGGCTCCACAAAGCGGAGGGTAGAGCGCGGGATGAGACCCGGGATGGCCCCCGGCCCGGGCCTGGAGGCTCTGAGGGCGGCGGTGGCGGCAGCTGGGGCGGCTGGGCCTCGGTTCGCGCGGACTGCACCCTTCTCAGACCCCCACGAGCTCCTCAACTGCCGGATGGGTGCAGCGGGCATCGGCCCCGGAGGCCTAGCTCCGGGGGCGAGGGGCCCGTGTTTGGAGTACAGGCTCCCAGTTCCTCTGGGCGGACCTGGAACTGCCAGTCCCCTCCCCCGCCCCCAGCACGTTGTCAAACCCCGGGTGTTTCGGGTGTCCGCAGGTGGGAGGGGCGGGCGGGAGAGAGCACTTCCTCATTACTTCTTGCCGCAGGTTTTGTTCCACTCGCGCGCCCGGGCGCTCACTCTGTCTCCAAAGTCGGCCCCCATCCACCGGGCCCAGTTGTTTGCTGGAGTGGCGGTTCCGCTCATCCGTAGGAAGTGCCCGCTTCCTAGCCGAGCACTTGTAGGCCTCAGCGCTGGTGGCAGAGAGACTTACTACAGGTCTTACTAGAGAGTTCCGTGAGGCCAAACGCACAGGTGTTCTTTTTCAGTACCACCCCCTCTGTAGATTTCACCCCACCGGGCTCCCACAGAGTAGTACCCTCACTAGGATGAAGCTTTAATGTTTAATGTCTGTGGTTTGGAAATGTTGTGTTTAAAGTAAACTTCGAGCAGAAACTTTGCCCCTTGAAGTCATTCAAATGTCACAGTTTTTAGGACTCTAATAAAAAGTATTTTTTTCCTGAAAGTGAGTAATAGCACTTAGTCTTCCTCTTTCTCTAAAATTCGATTGCCTTGGGGAGTTTATTTGACCAGTTAATAATTGAGTGAGTGTAGTTTATTACCGTTTGCGAAAAAAATTCTGAACATTTGCCTCATGACAATCCGTTTGATGGGAGTTAGGGATACACAGATGAAAAAATGGTTGGACACGTACAAAATCAGGAAATAGGTCAAACAGAATAAGAACAAACTTGTTTGTGTAGAAGTATTTGGGTTTAATGTGCTCAGGTTGACATTCCTACCCATCCAAAGATTGGCAGTGTAGTATTTTAGCTATTAATAAGATATATGGTATCAGTTTAAATAATCCTGTTGTAGGACACTGCAGATTGTTACCTTGTCTGAGGAGAAAATGAACTGATGATACATAAAGTTTTAGACATACAGTTGTGCTTTGACTGAAAAGGTCCCATGATGATAAAACTTGTTTAGAGAGTTGGTTTCTTTTCAACAAGTGGGGGCCCAAATCCTTCCGTGGAAACTTAAGTCTAGAATCAAGGCACCAAGATTTGACCATCAATAACTGAAAGTATTAACCCTTTCTTGCCTAAGATTGTAATCATAGAAGTTTTAAGGCAGCCTTTTGTGGCATTATGGTGGAACAGAACTGAAATGCTTTTGGTTCCTAACTCACTCGAATGGATCTCTGGCTTAGCTTCTTTCTTTATGGTCTCTTAAATTTCTACTGGGGTTTTAAATCCCAGTCTCTTTAATATGGATCTTTTCAGGCTAAGTACTGTGATGTTCTCCTAACTTTGGGTTAAGTCATTAAAAAAAAAAAGCAAAAACAATTGTGAGGACAGAAGAAGAAATGCTTCCTATTTCTTGACAGCATGTTTTAAGACTAATCTCAAATTATCCTTGCTTTTTCCAAGTATGTTTTTGGTTAGATTCTGATCTAGTTATGAAAAGCTTTCTTTTTAGCCAATTTAAATTTATGAACTTGAGCCTTTATTTCATTCTACCACATAACAGATCTTTGGTACTCAATACCTTGGAAGAGAATTTATCACAATAATTTTAATTGAATGCTCAGATATTTCAAGACATTTATTTTTCATGAGAAGTTTATGATTCTTGAATTAAAAAAGTAGTACCTGCTATGAATTTGGTATGTTCTTTTGTAAAAGAACAAAGCTGAGTTTCAAGTCAGTACATATTAGTTGAAGCATTTCTTAACCAGCCCTCGGATCAAACTGAACTTCCTGCTGGGAAGTTTCAAAATGGCATCCTACTGAGTCTTATTTTAAGACCTTATATAAAGAAAGATCCAGCAATTCCTTTTCTGTTTGCTCACAATTTTTAAGAAGCATGTTTCAAAGCTAAAATGGGCTCAAAACCTTTTGCACCCTATATGTACACAGTAGTTAATTTTAACGTACTTTTCATTCATACATTTGCAAGAATGTAGCAAAGCAAATAAAACAAATTATTCGTTGGAAAGCATTGTTTGAGAAGTCACTAATTAGAGGTGTAGACTTAATCTGAAATCCTGTGTTGAGATTTGAAGGAAATGCAGCCTTTGGGAGTGTGGAGCATAGGTTTAAGAAATGCATTTCTGGGGGAAAAAATGCATTTCTGTCTTTAATGCTAGAAGGCTCAGGATATACCTCTAGGCTAAATTAAAATGTTGAATGAGATGTTAAACTGTCTGCAGGAGAGGTGTTGGTTTTATTGTTGTGCTTTTTGGTTTTTTTTTGTTTTTTGGACTAATTATATGAAATGTAACATGGAATGAAAGCATATTGTGAAAGACACCATTTTATTGCTCTTAAACTTCATATTAAGAGCTCAGCGTTTTCCCTTTCAGATAATTAGTTTGAAATTTTGTCACCTTGGATTTAGAGCTCTTAGTTTTGAAATGCAGTGTTACTTTTAAAATTTTTGGTAGACTCATAAGAATAGGTACCCCTTTGTTTCAGACCCTGTCTTTTCTGCAGTAGCTTTCTAACTAATCTCCAGTATCTTTTCCCCATCATTTGTTTATTGGATTTCTTTATTACATAAGTAACATGTGAATATGTTCTAATTGTAAATGATTCTGGGAATACAGTTAATTCTTTACATTAATGCCAAATTGTCTACTAAATCATTGGTTTGAAACTAGGCATCCTGTACGCCAAAGTTTTTCAAGTACCTTGGCCTAGAGCTTATTGTGTAAGTATTGATCCCTCCCTACTTATAGCAGCATATTACAACTTACACTTAGTTAAAAGACTGTTGCACAGTGGTTCCCAAATACATTTTTGCCCCTTTTATCTGGAATGTCATCGTCTGTATCTACAAAAACATTATCCATCATTCCAGTTCATACTCAGATGTACTGTCTATAATCTTTTCCCTGACTTCCCTAAGCAAAATTGATTTCTTACATTCCTCTTGGCTAGTTTCACTTATCTTTACCATGTATTGCCTTATAAGTTGTCTCATTTTATAGTAGGTAAGAAGTCTCCCATCCTCCAAACATATACATACAGTTGCCCTGAATGGTAATTGAATAATACTTCATTTGTTACAGTTGGGTAGATTTATAGAACATGGTGTTCTTGGAAAACAGTACACTCTGGTTTTCTTTTGAGGACACAGACTTTTTCTTGGAGCTATATACTTATAATTCTGTTGACATCTTTTAGAAGGTTAAACTTTGAAATCTAGTCATACAGAATTATGGTGTCATCTGTAGGAAATTGAAGCCCAGGAAAGTGAGGTGACTTCCTTAAGTTTAATGTTAGGCCAGGTTTTCCTACTCTAGCCTAATGGTGATTCTGTTTTTCCGTACTGCTATTCAGTACAAGGAAAAGTTCTGTGAATCTGATCATTCATCATAAAGGTGAGAATAATCTATGATCAACCACTTATTTTTGGAGGACAAGACACAAGATTTGAGTTTTTCATCTCTTCAGTGTGAAAATATAAAACTCTAGTCTGACAAAAAGATAGTCTTTTGCAATTGTTGGGAATGGTCGTTACTTAACCTCAGTGTAATATACTTGCATTTCCATTGAGGCCTTCAAAGGATGGAGCGACTTAAGTTTTAAAATGTTCTTCAGCACTGTAAATTGAATTGTGACAGATAATTTGAGTAAGTTTTCTTCTGGTGTAGTTAACAGTTTTAAG